ACTGAGTTTCAGCTATCTCAAGTTAGAATTTAAATTTTAATGGTTCATTTGAAAAAGTAATAAGTATAATATTTTTTAGTATGTCAAAAGTAATAACTACTTATAACAATTGTTGTCACTTTTAATCATAACAATTTTTTCAGAATCCATAGAAAGTACTTAATTTGAGTTAGATAAAGTTTTTGAAAATTATATTTATATTCTTAACTTTAGGTAAATTGCTTTGGGTCAGTCAATTTGGGATTTCGACCATATTATAGTAAATAAATTAGAAATCCGGTTAAAAATGTGGGTTGCTATTTATAAAACCACGTTGTTTATGGACACCGATTGGATTATAAGCGTTTGCCGAAATGAGTATTTTAGTATTTCAGTACTATGTTTCTAGCTATTAAAACAAATCTAATTTCAATGTGTAAGGTCATACGGGCATACTACAGCTGACTACACTTCAATATTTATCAGTGAAAATATGTAAACATTGTACATTTGTACAGTATGTCATATCGGTGTCGTATATTATACTTTTCTCGTGATTTTCTCATTTTATTTTTACCGAATCTCGTGGACGACTCGTTTCTTCGACCGACATACAACACCTAGGCACACTGTACGTGGGTGTGGGTAGTATATTACATTATAAGCCGAGAGGTACAGGCACCGAATATATATTGTTGGCACATGCCAAGGACGTAGTCGCGTGTATTATGATGTCGATAATAATATAAAATAATATAGTAAGTAACAATAAGTAATTATTATTCGTGTGTACGGCATATGCATAACGTAATCGTCAACCTCATTGGAGAACGACAAATTCAATTAACGATAATATTGTCATCGATACGCGTGTATAGGCACCCTAACCTCTACCTGTAGCCGCTATTATGATATTACATTTTCGAGTTTTGTTTTGCCCGTTTTCGAGGCGCGCGCATTATCACACCGCGACCGACCAGCGCGCAAAGAACAACAGTATAATAATATAGTTGCCGTACAGTGCATGTGGTTTTGGCGGCCAGTGTGGTGGGTAGGAGGGGGGTGCGAGCCGATGATTGACGTTTTAGGTTTCTATTCATTTGGTGCAGACAATATTATGTGTGTGTGTGCCTGTGCGTCCGTCGAGAATTCGCTGTGGGTTTTGTCGAAAAGTCGTATACAATATATTATTATTATCACCTTGAATGCGGCGAGACCATGTTCGTGCACGTTTGATCGTCGGTCCCAAGTCGGTGTACCGTAAAAAACGAGATACCCCCATCCCACAACTCCTGAAAGAAAATTGAATAATAATAATAATGGCGAGGAACTCGCATCTATAGAGATCCTTGGAGAGGCAAAAACGCTTCGCGGTCCGCCGGAGTCGAATGATGACTGTTGGCCGTGCCGATAACGCACCGGCGGAAAGCGGAACGACCGCCGACGATAAAGGATGACCGCAGCGGTGGTACTTGGCACGGGGTACTTGAACTTGAACTTGAAATCGAACAAAATAATAAAAAAAACAAACGATTTGTTGCGAGTCTGACACGATAATGGGTTACGTGTTACGATAATGCGTGTGTCAGGTACCTATTGTTACTCGGGCACGCGAACGAAATGTTATCATCATCTCCCTCGTGCGACGACGATAAGAGGCGAGACGTGTAGTTTCTGCAGTGCTCAATTAGTAATTACACATAATATACGTGTATGGGCGGTGACCAATTAAAAGTATTTGTTTGATGTGGGGCGGGGGTCCAGGTTCGGGTTGTCTGGTTAACGTGAAAAGTCTAGGTAGGTAATTTAAACAGTTACATATTCAGTAGAAAATTACTGTAATATTCGCGTATTCTGCGGAAATGACTCGTTGCCAACTCGATGGTGGACTTTAAAATGGTGATGACTCGAGAAGACTCGCTCTTCTGAAAAAAAATAATAAGGCACCGAATCGATGCGATACAGTGAAAACGAAAATACTGCTGCAACGACTATACAGACAGTACCCACCTACCGGCCTATATAGCACGTGAAATCGGAAGTCTCAAAAATATTTATGTGCTTGACTACGTTGTGTTTGAAACAGTAATGTCCGAAAAGACGTTGTCGATATTATAATAATGGTCTACCCGAAGGACCCTTGTATACCGATATCCTATTGGACAAAAAAAAGAAACCATTCGATTTTGAATAATATAATCCTTATATCTATGTGTGACTGCATGTGTATTTCGTTATAGACGGGTAATATTGTGTACCTTTATAATATAATGTACCTATGTCCTATATACCTTATATATATATATCGTTCTTCATAACTATGAAAAAAAAAAATAATATGCTATACAGTATGCACGCTATGCATATTACTGTTGTGGTGTGACACAGCTGCAGCTGTCGTCGTCGTCGTGTGACCGTCGTTATCGAAACGGGTTTAACAATATTCGAGAGTCTTGAGATTGTATGACGTATACGATGACATTACGACCGCGTGCGTACACGAGAAAACGATAAAAACAATGAGAAAAAACCAAATCTCCTCCACAACAATGTTTGAAAAAGATCAATTGTGTGCGTTGTCCGTGAATCGTTAATGCGACGAGTGTGTGAGTGTGTGTGTGTGTGTGTCGTGTGTGTGTGTGGTGATGATATGTGCTGTTAAGTACAATACCTACGCCCAATAATACGCGTAGGAAACGAACGAACAATATAATATAAAAAAACGCGTTTTTTGTAACAGTTTCTTTCGAAACTGCAGAGGACGATCGTTTTTTTTTATTATTAGTATTATTATTATTATTATTGGGAACCGTCTTCGCATCATCGCAACCGAACGGCTTTGTTGTTCGACGAAGGTTTTATATTTTGTATTTGGCAATACGATGGTATATTACTAAAAAAAACCTCACTGCCCTGCACATGAGCACATGTTTTTCGTTTCCTCTATCATTATCCGACGTATAAAACGTGAACGTAAAAAATGCCGGAGTGTTCCTTTCCCAAAATGTACATCTTACAATATTATTATTGTCTCGGAAACTTTTAGCATCTCAGTATTTATTGCGCGTTACGCGTTACGAATAGATATTTCCGAAAATGTGTCTTCCTCAGCACCTCATCTAGGCTCTTTTTGATAATAATATTATTGTCTTGAGCAATCGTTGTCATCGTTGTGACGTCTTCGTCCACACTATATTACCAAGTGTAATTGAAAATAAAAATGCGTTTGTTATCCGCTGCAATACTCATTATTATTTGTTATTGTCGTCGAGTGGTTACAGGTATACCAGCGAGTTTAATCTAAAATGTCGTCGTTAGGCTTGTTCGACAAATATTATAGAGTTAAAAACAAATATGCACGTACGTTAACGTCTATAGATTAAAAGAATGTATATATCGGAACTGTACGCCAAAGCATTTACGACTATAACTATATTAGTTGATGTATACTAAGTAGTAATTATGTTAAGGTACTGCGTCGAAATTATAAAATAAAACTATGTATCGATTTTATACTTAGGATTTTTGGTAGAGTATAATATTATATCATATAATAAATAATGGTATACGCCTATGCAGATCATGGGGGAAAAAGCAATCCTTACGTCAAATTTTTATTGCTTGTGCGTCGGTTTCCAGACTACAATTTTCCAAAAGTACCAAATACTATTAGTACTGTTTAGAACGTATATAGTTGATTAAGTGTAGTATTTGGTCAGATGTCTTCGAACGGCATACATATAGGTACAATAAAAATTCCTGTTAGGTTGTAGTCGGTGCTGGGAAATTTAGTTACACAACATATCATAACTATGGGAGTACAGATGTTTTCGTAAAATGGTGTTTGGAGGGAACGATACTTTGTCGAGGACATATTATTATAGTTAGTTGTATGAGACCAGATGTTACGCACTAGGCCCGCCGTGTAAATACGATGGTACTACCCACTAATTTTTTGGCCATTTCCGACCGAAATGATGGTAAAGGTTAATAATAATATAATATGCGCGCCCACTATAGGTACACCACATTTCCTGCAGCTCCCCGCCACTGCACCTGCCAACACCGATTGAACATGCTATTTTACATTTTTGTATAAGTCGATAAAATATATGCTATAGGTACCTCCTATCGAGTAAGTTATTCAACTGTGAGTTTTTTTTTTATGACGAATTCTCTAACATTTGTTTTTATTTTTTCGGCCTTACACACACATTGTCCAGACGTGCGTGCCATAAACCCACGATGGCCTACCTATTGCAGTTGCAACTGTGCCCGATTATAGTGTTAGCGTTGGTGTCGAATTATACAGACAAATTAGAATAGTTCAATCATTGACATAATATAAATGGACTGCGCATTCCCTATACCTTAACGTGCAATACATTGGGGCCATCATTCAGGTCATTCACCCTCAACTTGGTAGTAAATCATCATGGAGGAGAGAAACAAATAGTCGTGTTTTCCAGGAGTGTTATCATAATGAAATCTAAATAATAATAAAATCATAGATAATTAAAAAAAATAATATTATAATAATATTCAGAAAGTTGCAACTGTCAAATTTCAATCATATTTACCACAGATGATAATGTGAATATTATCTTAATATATTCGAAACAATGATAATAAGAAATATTGTCATGGAAATATGAAAAATTATATTTTTTTTTCCATTGATTTTGACTACCAGATCAGGGCAAATAATGACTCCACAATTAACACATCAAGCGCAGTCCATTTATATTATGTCAATGAGTTCAATATTCCTTCATCGAGAATAACAAGTTAAACGCAATCGCTGTAACATTGCGATGACACGATTATTTTTTGTGTTCCTGTGCTCCTGCAGGGTATTATTATTAGCACATGCAAATTGTGAATTTCTTGAAATTCGGAAAATTTCGAAAGTACAAATCCCCCCCCCCTTGGATGTTGTTTGATTAATAATAGTACAATGATATTATAATAACACTTAACGCTTATATAGTTTTCTAAAGATTATTATTTTCATTTTTCAGGATTGAAATCCAAACAGCAGCAGAACACCAGGGCCAACAAAGACGACAACCCGGAAACAGACGACTTGGTCAATTCGAGTCCACAGAATAGGATTTCCAAGAAATCGAAACCGTCGTCGGCGCCACCGTCGCCCGTAAAAAGTCGGAAATCCGCCGCAGCCGCAGCGACTTCGGTCTCGGCTCCACCTGTAGAGCCATCTGCATCGGGGCATGACAACTTTGTGAACGATCTTGAAGTCCACCATAACAACAACAACAACAACAAGGACGACGACGAAGACTGTAGCAACAATGACGACGACGAGGACAATAGTTATCAGTACCAGTATCATAACCGGAACAAGAGGACCCGCCGTCCGTCGTCGTCGTCGTCATCGTCGTCCACGTCCACTTCGTCGTCGTCTTCTTCGTCGTCGTCCGCCAAGAACGAAGCGGTCGTCGTCAAGCCGGGGCGTCAGTTGAACGGCGGTAGAAAGTCGTCGTCGCCGCCTGCAGTGGCGCCCAAAGTTGGCGTGGTCGGTAAAAAGAAACAGCAGCCGTCCCAAGAATCCGCGGCGACACGAAACGGATTGCAACTGGCTCAGGCGCGCTATGAAAACTCGACCACGGTGGACCATAGAATCACTACAAAAGGTCAGTACACCGTCGTGGCGTCGTCGCACTTATCTCTATAATAACTATAAAATATATGTGCAATAATATGATATATTTATCGCCACTCTTATTCGGTGGCGATTCGGTCTGGTTATACGCGCACGCCGCCGACTCGACCGCGACGGCCGCGTGTTTTTCGCGTTTTAGGTTAATTCGTTTTCAGCGGTTTTTTTTTCCTTTACCGTTTTTCCCGTTCGTCGTGTATTATTATTTTCTATTATAAAACCCCAAAGCTGTACTATAATGCTATATAATATGCCAATGTCCCGTTACAGCCGTATTCCGCCGCTCTGGTCTCGTACAATATATAATATTATAATGCGCGTAATAGTACGTCGTAATTGCCGCGTGCCGTGTTCGAGTACACAACGTTCGTAGCAAAGAAAAAAATGATTGTTTTTTTGCGTCAACTGGCGTTGCTGTTACAAAAAATTTGACTGCATAGCGCCAGAAGTCATCGGCAAAAAGCTGTTAATCTTAAACAAAATTATTGTTTTGGGCTATCGGTGTATAGATATTTAAATTGTTGTGTGAGTGTCGATAATGATTTTCTACGTGATTTCTTCTATATGATTTCAAATTGTCAACAACAATACATATTATGTATAGGTAATATGGTCGACGATTTCCTTTAAAGGGTTGGGTCGATCGATGATAAAATATTGTACAAATTATAGAACAACAGTGTATTATTATTATTTCATGAATAAAACAACATTTGATTTTTTTGTGGGTTGACTGCTTGAGCGGTTCTACATCAGGCATTATGTAATAATATAAAGGTCCGGTCTGGGTTCGCCTCGTATCAATTTCCGAATGTACCTAGGTACTTCCGGTGTAACCCTGGTCGCGGTATTATAATATGTAGTTGTATAATATCATATACACACCAAGAGCAACCTCGACAGTGCTATGATGTCGCATTCGGAAGGGCGTGTGTGCGTATATTAATAATATATTATTAGGTATATCGAATCCCTGACGAGAAACGCGTGTTTTGAAAAATCCACGACAATATTATTATATTTTATTCTCATCACCGTTTCCGACCAAAAATGATTCGTAAACCACGTGTTTTTTTCATTACCTTCGGGTATTATACCTGAGCATCGTATAATGGTATTTTTAATCGGGTTTTCTCTCTCTCGATTACGATCGCGATTTTCTCGCATCCGTAGTCGTCGTGGTCATTACGATCGCTATATGAATTATTATCGTTCTCGAATCGTGTTAATTTATTCGACTGTCGGTATTATACAACAGTATAATATCTATATCCTCGGATTTTAGTGAATACAATTTTGTGCGCGTCTCACGAAGTAAAAAAATGACCTTAGCCGCCGCATGTATTGGGTATATAAATATATAATATATATATACCCACTACAGCCTATACGCACGGAGGCTTTGCTTATTATAAAAATATATATTATAATGCGTACCTAGGTATAATACATTAAAAAAAAAAAAAATAATTGCCAAATATTGTAACTGGCGGTAAAATGGTAGGTACTAGGTAGTGTAGTAGCTGCAGTAGTAATATAGTGGTTTAGACAGACATCTATATAGATATACCCATGCTATAAAATTCAAGGCTGACTGGGCCACTATACCTAATTCGCAGTATATGCCCGATAGCATCATCATCTAGAACAAATTATCGAAAAAAAATTTTATATTAGGTACTATACAGGACGATTCTCTTATGACACAACGCGCTCTATATATGGTATATTCGTCAACCCGACTTAACCTAGCCGTTAGAGCTGCAGTGTTTGCTATATAATTATTTGTACCTATATATGTGTGTAAGTAAGGGCCTGTCTATAAGTTTGGTCGGAGTTAGAGTTATAGGGATGCATAAAGGTCGGTCGTTTTGTGCGTTAAAAAAATCGCCCTGTATAGTACGGCGTACACATTTAATGCCGTATGTCGCTGTCCGCAGTGAATCGAGCTGAGAAGTAAAATTTTTTTTCTCAAGAATTTGTCAGCTTGAGACGAGACTGCGTCGACGGTGGCGACGGCCTTAATTGTTGCGTCCGACTTTAGTGTGTACGACGGGTTTTATTTTAAAAAAAAAACAAATTAATCGACAATAATATTATTTCACGTACACGTGCGCACAGGGAAAAAAAATTGTTAATCTGTCTGTAATTTTTTTCCCTCACTAGCAGCAGGTCTCTCGGACGAATATCGCATCAGTGGTTCGTATGGAGGGGGAAAAACGGTAAATATACGATCTAGTCATGTGGCTCTCCTGCGTTGGCATTTTCTCCTCGCCGGCTGCTAAATATAATATATTATATTATATTACGTATATTCTCATCATATTATTCGGTGTTGTAATATATGATGACGGTAAACCTCTCTGACACGGTTGTCGTTGTTTCGGATTGACGCGCCAACACTTTGGAGTAGTGACACGACGTGGACGTTTTAATTATATAATTCATGCGTACAATTATTATTTTGTTTTCGGTGTAGGTACGCGGGAAACGGGAAAGAACCCATCGAGATTCGTCCGTATCGGAAAAACTATCTTTTTTTGAAAATAATTCGTTTTGAACGCTTGCACAAGAAACGCTGTTCGGAAACAAGGCATGAGACTTTTCTAAAAGGTCGTTTTCACTTGAATATTTAGATTTTTATTTTTTAATTTTTATTTTTTTCATTTTTATTGCTGCTTTGTTAATAAAAAGAACTTAGTGTGGATGGCCAACCGTTGACGTGTAGAAGCACATAATATTTACCTATTTAATTATGAGTTTTACATCATTATAAATGGGTAACCGAACAAAGGATCGGCATCTGCTCATGGACCTTGCTACTCTACTGCAGTTCTGAAAGATACTCGTTACCGTATACGGTGTGTAACAGGAAGATCTGTTTTTTTAAATTTGGATCCCATTAAAGGCTCTCGGGCACACAGGTCAGGTTGTATTATTTTACAGAGATCGCGCGGTCAGACCGCTTTCCGTGTTCCAGAGCTTTTAAGAGGACGCTCCACCGGCATTTATTGGCTCCGTCTAAGTAATTATTGACCTACTGTTGCTAACATATTGGTAAGAACATTATAACTGTGTTCTACGATAATTCAATTTTTCAGCGAGTTTTGCGTATTTAAAATATCTCTCGAAACCGAATTATCGTAAAAAAAAAACGTCTCACAATATGTCAATTCACTCTAATTTTTAAGCCAACTAAGCAAAACGTGAACTGCTGAGAGTAAAATTTGCCATGTGCACTTGTCAGACGCGGAGACAACAGATTCGGGTGTAGCGTCATTATATGTTAAATGTGTCGTATTACTCGTATTGTATTATTCGTGATGATGTACATCCTGTATATACAAACGCACACACACACACACACACCACACGTATATATACTAAAATTATAAACAACCGAAGAAAGTTGTCGGGTCGTTCGCGCGTAGGTAGTGTATATACGGCTGCAGTGCTGCTGCTGCTCAGCCGTGTATATTATAATAGAGATCAAGTGAAAGTAGACGAAAGAGCGGATTATATTTTCTTCTCCCGTCTTCCACCATTGGAATACGACGACGACATTATCGTAATACTATAAATACGACGTTATTATTGCTCGTGATATTAGGTATACCTACCTATAATATTCGGTGCTGCGTAAATGCCCCGCTGCAGCTCGTAGCACGCTGTTCTCGATTTATCAAAACTGGATTGCCATATCGATTTATACACGCGGCTGCTCTGTTTAAAACAATTTAATACAATGTTGCGCATTTGTTATTCGTCTATTTTTATTCCAACTCAAACGCGAGCAAGGTCCGGAGCACGCGTGATTTTTCGCGGTTTTCTCTCTAGCGCCAAAGAGAAATCTTCCGTGCACGACGACACGTGTCGATCGATCGGTGGTGTCCACCACCACCACCTGCCGGACAATATTATTGTAGGCCATTTCGATCACAACAACAACAATACTACTGTAATATACACGTACAACACTCATGTGGAATTATAGGTGCGAGTTCACGAAGCGCGTGGCGTACTTGCTTGCTGCAGTAGTTGCGGTAAGTCTTCATCGAGAGTGTTCCGATTACGCCGAGAAAGTATGACTCACGAACTTCTGCTGTATAGGTAGATACCCGCCTTCTAATGTTTCCATGATCTGTCGCTGATTTATAATAATGTATGTGTTTTTTATATCTTAACGGGGTCGTCGCCGCCGCCGCCACGTAGTCGCAGTGGCGGCCAGTGGTGATTGTGTAAAAACTGATCTATTTTAATATAGCTCGTGTCTGGGCTTCTCTCGATCGCAGTAAAAAATAATTATTATAATATGCACACGTCTGTCATATTGTAATATTATTATTATTAATACATCGACTCCGCGTTGGTCTTAATATTATTCTCATCTGCACATCTGTCGGTCGAGGCTTTCTCACCGACTGGTGTAGTGTAAAATGTATATTCGTTTGAAATCGAACCAACTGCTGTTGCAGCCGTCCCGCCACGTTCGAACGTGTTTTTTTTTCGTTCTGAAGCGTTATAGTTGAGAAACGTATCCGATTACAAAACGGGTGTTTTTTTTTCAGACAATATTCTCTTAACTCTTCGATAAATCACGCACCACCCGCACGCATCAGGACATGTCCAGCTTATTTTAAGTACCCGTTATTATATTTTACTTATAAATGTATATATAATATTTAAGTGTCGAATACTTAATTTTTGGTCCTGGTGTTGATTACAAACTGACAAAGGGCTTGTACCGACGTACCGTGGTGGCTAACCAGATGTTGTTTGTATAATGTGCAGTGTGCTGCACCGTTTCGAAACGTGTTCTCGCTAGGTATTAAAAATTACAAATATTTTCAAAATATGTTTTTTTTTATTGCAACCAATCGTCTGTCTAACGACAGTCTGTGCACCGACGCACTTATAAGTCTCGGCTGGTGTGTAGTAAACTGTCTAAAACATATTTGCAGTTTTTGTTATTATTTACACCATACATCAGATATTTACATATGTTAGTCGAATTTTGTATAAAATCACCTACCCATTAGTTTTAATATTGAATACGTCAATATCATTTCCTATAATAAGAATGAATTAGTAAGTGTAGGACGTATAGCTGGTATAGCATCGTAGCAAGTAAAACCTCAATTTTTTTAGACTTATCATAATCGAACATCCCAAACATATCTGGTCTTATGAACTTGTCTCTGTCCATAAAAATCCTAATACTGCAAACTTTTTACAAGATTTTTCCAGTTATATTTATAATAGTTTGCGTTGTAGTATGTATTTGACTAATTTTTGTTCTATACTATTACTGACGATTGGTTTGCCACTTGTATTTTTCAGAGAAGAACGTCAAGAGATCGACGGCTGAACTGACCAATAAGAAGGAACAATCAAGACTGCGGAACATAGAAAATGTAAAATTTATGGACTATAATGAGCAGAACAACAACTGCAGCATCATCCAGACATAACAAAAGCAATGATGGCAATCTTGAAACCCCGACCAAGAAACTGGGAAAAAGGTTGCGGAAAAAGCTCAATAAGAATAAAGAGGAAGTGTTTAGCGAGACGAAGACCACGAAGATCACAACGGATGAAAAAAAATCGATTATCGTTGGAAATGAGAATCAGATGGAGAATGGGAGGGTGCCCCCACAGTCTCCAGCGCCTCAGCTATTGTCCTTTATCTCTAAACAAGGGGAAATGTTTGAGGGGAGCATGCGGAGCCAATTGTACTGGAATGACTATCAACTCTGGAGCACGCTAAGGTCATTCTTCGTGGTGGACAAGAAAAAGCTGTATGAAAACGGGTTTCCGGTACAGTCCACGAAGCCTGGGTATGCTCATTGCTTACAGGCATAACTTACGATGCAAGGCACTAAACCTGCTGCCAAGAGTTCTGCTTGGATACGCCGGAGGTGTCGTCGACGTCCCCCTCGTCAGCTCCACAGAAGCTCGCTCGTCGCAAAGGTACTGGCGACGGATGTCAGGGGCAAAAGCCGCATCAACAACTGCAACAGTCATCAAATAATCACGTTACGTGCGTTCGGTGCACGTCGTACTACAATGTGAAAGACGAGTACAAGTCCGCGATGCCCGGCCGATGCGTGTACCACTTTGGCAAGTCCTTTAACAATACGTACGATTGCTGCGGTAATGACTGCTATACGTCGCCGGGTTGCACCGTGGCCAAACAGCATGTGTGGAACGGATTCGTGGATGGGGATAACGAAATCGGAAATTTCGTGCAGACGGACGATATGAACAGCTGGTCTGCATTGTTCCCGTACTCGTCGTGTCCCAAAGAAGCGTCTTCGTTAAGGACGAAAGAAGCGTTATTTAAATCAATAGTAGAAATCGAACCCTTCAGAATATTGGCCTTAGACTGTGAAATGTGTTACACCGAGTGTGGCCTGGAGTTGACCAAGGTGACGCTGGTGGACCCCTGCGGTACGGTCGTCTACGACACGCTGGTCAAGCCCAGCCGTCCGATTGTCGATTACAACACTCGGTTCAGTGGTATCACCGCGGATCACTTCGCGGAATATCCGTCCAAGACGCTGAACCAGGTCCGGCGTGACCTGCTGCAATACATCCGGAAAGACACAATACTAGTCGGCCATGGACTTGGCACCGACCTACTGGTGCTTCGCATAATCCATTTAATGGTGGTGGACACATCTTGTTGTTCAGAGAGATGATTGCGTTAGCACAACAAACTACCCAAGAAAGTATTCACTGAAACACCTGGCCTCGGTACTACTCGGCCGTGAAATCCAACTTAAAGACGGCCACGACAGCAAGGAGGATGCCCGGGCTGCCATGGACCTGGTACTGTACTATATTATCCATCAAATCCACGGAATTTAGCAGTTGGTCGCCCTGCGCCCGACTGAGCGCAGCCCCCAACACCAACCAGTCTCAATGCTGCACCCCGCTCCTCACTTTGTCGTTCCTATTTATATTCATGCATATTATTATTGTTGTTATCATAATCGCGCATGCGTACATACATAATATCAACTATACATTATTACAACGTCGAGTATTACGTTTATTGTATTTAATATGTTTATAATATATGTGTAGGTACGCGTATGTGCCGTGCGCGTGTATAATAATATCATCAAGGTAATGTGATGTAAAAATGTTTTTCCTATTTTTTAAAAAAAAAAAAAATATTTTATACGACTATTTTTCACTTGACATTGTGATAAATTGATCGACGGATGATCCGGCATGTGAAACGGTGATCCCGCTCCGATCTATAAACTGACTGACTTATTTGTTAATAACCCCCCCCCCCCCAACCTCAAATCTTTCCCCCAGCTTTTTTGTACTTAAAATTAATGATTATAAAATATGTTGTACAAAAAATAAATTTTCTCATATATATATATATATAAATATTATTTAATTTGGAAGCTTTTTGTTTTCTATATTTTCTGTCCTACGCATCTCTATATATTGCTTCTAATGAATGAAACGTGATTATTGTGATTTTTTTTTTGTATTATACGTGTTCACACCGCACAGTGGTGCCATGCGAGGCAAGACGCCAGTTGTGTTGTACGTCGACCGTCTCTTAAATGTCAACGAGCCAAAACCCGATGAAATCGAATACGCATTATTCTACACGGTGCGATGTGTGTAAATAGGTAGTAAACACGAAAGAGTTCTGCTCCTCTCGCCACTGACCGGCCCGCAAAAGATTATTATCGATGCAATATTTTCGCTATTATTATATTATTGTCTGTACCTGCACCGGGGCCGGTCTTCGGTTCGATGCGTTGTAGTTTCTGCCCGTTGACGTGTTGCCCCTTTTGACAACGACAATACTGCTTTCGCTCGGCACGTCCATCGACAACAACAACAAAAAGTCGCTCTGCTGTACACTAGGTTGCAAGTGTATAATGCAAATATAAACTACCAGTGAAAATTTCATGCATATTTTCATTTGTTTTAGAGAAAAACCAAAATCGCGTAAAAGTTCCCGTTTATCCTTAATTGTTATGTCTTTTTTCTCGTCGCTTTTGAAAACTATTGGGAATTTTAAAATTTGACCTCCCAAATGCACCGACTAGATTCACTTTCCCATCAAATAAGATACTGTTGAAGAAAATCGAAGCAGTTTTACTTCCCTTAAACCTTGATGACAGACACAAAAATTAAAAAATCAAAAAATTAAAACACACATCATTGTAAAATCAATACGTTCATCGTTTCATTCAGAATCTAAAATAATTATAACATCGGAATGAAAGTTGTGCACCTTTTACGACAATAATCAATATATATAACGACAACGATATGCGTCTGGAGGTAAGTATAATAATATGTGCTTATATATATATAAATGTTTGTATACACTATCCGACGGATAATATTGATGATCATTTTTGGACTCTCGGAAATGTGTGTGCCTCGACCTGGTGTGGCCAAGACGTACGAGTATGTATAATAATATTATATTCAGACCCGTCGATTGGAAATATCAACAATATGCGAGCAGCGTAAGTATAAGGTACCATATAATATACGTATAATATGACAAAATAATCGTAAACTGCGCCTGGCACAGGTCCCGTTGGTCGTTTGGCACGTCCACTGTGGAAATTTGTCGCATCCACACACGCTGACGCGCGAACGACGAACGGTGGCCAACTCTCTTATATATAATATTATTATTATTATGAACATTCAAACATTGTACGGACAACGCTTATAATATTGTATTCGCGATTGCAATACCCACTACAACACACTTAGGCAGCGACGGTATTTTGTATTTATTTATTTTTTCATTTAAATATACCCGCGTCTGCGTAGGGGTTAGGTTACACGACCTGCAACCAGAGTGGTATATTATTTCCTTTTACCGATCGCAGATGTTTTCAAATTACATAGAATTTAACGACATTTAAAAAACCGGTGGACAAGTGGGTACCCCTCTGGTGTACAGTAGGTATATGCCTAGGCAATGGACGTGTTGAGTTTGAATTCAATGACATAAAATCATTGTATACCTACGAAAAATGTTTCTGAGCGAAGACAGTCATCTCTGAGCCTATAATATTAGTTAAGTAGGTATATTCAATATTGTATGATATTATTGTCATTAAAGTAATTTGTTTAATATAAGGCATTTTTATCTATAGTAGGTTAAATTAATTTTTGCCAAAATAAATTGCATTTGAAAATATCATTGGGTGTATAGTGCACAAAATATAATAATATACTCTAAAAGTTTCATATATTCACGAATAATATTTTTTAAATTACGACACTACAACCGTTATTCTTGGTTTTAAATTTTAATTATATGTAATTTCTTCAAAATTTGAATTGAAAAATCTGTCAAAAATAACTGTTTATTGGTTTTATTAGTTACACTATATACTATTTATGAGAATCTTTGTTTTAAATTTCCCGTTTTTCCTTATTTTTTTTTTTTTTTTTGGTTTTCCCGGTGCTTTTGAAAATTACTAAGAATTTGAAATTTTGACCTCCCAATGCACCAATATCAGATTCACTTTCCCATCGAACAACATACTAAAGTCGAAAAAATAAATAAAAACACATCATTGTAAAATCAATACATTTAATCAAAAAACATTCATATTTATTTTTAAGGCAAAAGATCGTTTATCGATGTTCAATGTTCACGCGTCATGTCTCGTCGAAAAAATAAATGTTCGCAAGCTGCAGCAGAACTGATAAAATTCCACAATGTGATTTCAATGCATTGCTGCCGAGATTTACGATCGTTTTTTTCTATATTTCAACATTCTACAGTTCAACATTTCAATTTCAAATTCAAAATAACATAGGTAGATAATAATATATTTTAAAGTAAGAAATAGTTTCTTAATCCGCGTTGGAACAACACAGTGATAATAATCGATTGATGGACTTTACCTTGAGCTTTTTATGCATTTTTATCATCGTGTTTTCATATAAATAAAACAAAATATTTCGGTATTTTTATTAACTATTACCTGTTTCAAAGTTCAAGTCGTGAAACTTAATCTTATTAATTCCATTTATATTATAATTAACATATGTGGTTTGTAACTGTAGGCTGAATTTGTGGTTTTCGTTCAGATTTCTATTATACGCTCAATTCTCGCCAGCCTACCAATACACCACCAAAAAGACACTTGGCCATGGACCCCCCCACTCCCATACGTGCATCTAGTCTTTACCTAATCATAACATCATTATCGTCTTTTGCTAGAAAAAAACCTCGTCGGCCCGACGTATTTGTAAAATAAAAAAACAAACCAACAATTAATGAGCAGGCATAGGTATACCTATATGCGCTCATCATGTGAAATTTACCGCAAGGCTGTTCGGTTTACGGTAAGATATCTACATTGTGTTTTATTTTAGCACCACACAATATTTAATATATTGATTTTATATATTAATATATTTTATATGGGAACCTATTATATTATTATAATCGAGTGAATAACTATAACGACAACCTGCGAGCCGTAAAAATAAGTGTATAACTATTATAATATATTGGCTAGTGGCTACATTATAATTACTATTACTTCGTATTATTATTATTTATTGGTATGCATAAAAGTATTATACAGTACACACATCAGCCATAATACAAGCGATGTTCTAGACCACCAGTTTTCAATATTATTATTATTATAAAAGATTTTAGATTACTATACGTCATACAGATTTTTAAAATTTTCACGTACCACTCGACATAGTGCAGTCTTCTCTGATAATAACTTTTATTTTAATATTTGCTATACCTATTCAAAAAATGTACGAGTTATTAAATGTACATGATTACTATTTCTAGTTTAGGAGCTTTAATAATTAGGAAATAAATAATTACCAAAACCTGCTATAATAAGTATAATATTTTATTGCTCGAAAAATCAAACCAAAATACCTATATCAATTAATTAAATATTTAATTCTTTTAATGTTTCTTTAACGATTGTGGTTTAAAATTTAAATATTTTAATGATGATTTCGGTGTTGTTTTGAATTAACAATAAGACGTTAATATCGGGCTCCTTATTGGTAACCTTCAGTTTCAAATAGTCAAATCATTCAAGCGATTATCGAACGCGTAGTAATTTATTCACTTAATAATATTAATAACTATTTAATGTTAACATTATTGAATCAATTTTTTTTTTTCATCAAGTGAGATTTCTTTAGCATACTGCCCGTGAACCGATAGAGTCTAGACCAATAAAATAATATGTATTATTAGATTTTCAAAACGTCTTATCTGTCCTACGTGATCACACCATCGAGACCCGGTCGAGTGCAAATCGATATATTATTATTTCATAAAGGTCACATTATTATTATTATCATGTACTCGATACGGAAGGAGGTGATACAACAAGTGCTTAGTGCAGTATTATCATAATTATTACTAGCCGATCCCGCGCACCTCATTGCAGTAAAAAATTTAAAAATTTTTAGAAAAATTGTGACTGTTCAACTCCTTTTGGGTGCAGCTCAGCCTCCCTGGTAGTCAATCCGACTACGTCAGATCGCGGACAATATGCGACAGCATAATATGAAGTAGACAATGTGCGAAAATTTGATTTGATGAAAGCGCTTGCACCTGATCTGCCCGATTAACCAATGGCACGGCAGTCAAATAATAAATACAAATTTCTCCTGTAACCAATAGCGACCATTTATAAAC